CTCTCTCTCTCTCTCTCTCTCACACACACACACACACACACACGTAGCTGTCTAAATCAGTGCATATATTCTATTGCTTTCATATAAAGCTAACTATAATAACAACAACAACAACAGACTAATCAAAATCTGACCTAAACCATTAAAGAAAATGTTTTGCATTTTTAGAATAAAAAAAAATATATACATTTGTTGTATGAATGAATCCTTTTTCCAACTGTAGACAAGCTTGGATGTTTTTAAAGTCAGGTTTAATCAGATGTAGTGAAATTCTAGGGACAATTTTGTCCTTAAATCACAGATAAAAAGAAAAAAAAAACGTTCTCGTTCATAACGGCTAATTGCACTTGTGTGAATAAAGAAACTGTGATGATTCTGATGATATGAATGGATTCATATCATTGTTTGTGACTGTTTCTTGTTTTGACTCTCTAATTGTTTTGGTTGAATCTCTCTGTGATTTAAAAGGCTTTATGAAATCCGCTGCTAAAGCGCCCCGCAGGTTTTTTTGAGGGGTGCTGATTTGGCAATGTTTTGCTCTTACATAAGATACAGCTGCGCCAAAAACAGTATTTACACACTTAACTCACACTAAAATGTCATTGTGTTAGATAACGAAATATCAAAGCAAAGCATTCATGATATCATGAAAATATAATGTTTAAAAGAACAACAAAAACAGTTCTATATGACTGTAGTATATGACTTAGTCCAAGGTGTAAACAAGGTGATAATATAGTAATATTCTCTCCGCTTGAGAGAGAAAAAAAACACTTTATGAAAAATTTAAGAAAGAAAGAAAGAAAGAACTCCAATTTTAATATTCAATATAAAAACTACATTTTTGTATGTCCATTATTTTTCTTATTTATGGAGTTTTGAAGCCTTTGAATTTATCTATTTTATTTGAATTTAACATGAATGACAGATTCTTCGGTACAAGGTTTTACAATATTTTTGATGGTATGGTTATTTGAAACAGTCATTGTTTTAATAATTGTATTATTTTCAATTATTTTAAACTGCATTTTGCTCATCCTTTCATATTTATCGGCTATGCATGGGCTTATATTAATTGAAAGGCTACATGGAATATTTGTACTTTTAAAAATGAATTTGTCACACAACAGGACCATTTGAAATGAACTATACTGATCAGTTAAGTTGTGACTGGTCTCATTTAAACCAGAACATAGATGTAAAGTTATAAGATTTGACTTTTCAGATACAATTTTTTCCCAAGTGTTAAAAGAGGCATTTGTTACATTTGAAACTTGGCCGGTAGATTTGTAAGAAACGTAAAAAAATGCTATAATTATGTTTACTCTTGCAAACTAGTCTCAAACAGTTTATCGGTGTTCTTTTGGTCATATGGTGAAACACAAATCAGCTGCATTTGCCTGGTTCTCAACAGCAACTGTAAACAGTCCAGAGAACAGCAACAAACAGAGCGAGAGAGAGATGAAATTAGTACTACAGACTGTAATGTTGTACAGTAGAGGATCCTAAAATTCCATTCAATAATTCAGCGTACTTTAGTTTCAAAGAGATGTGAATTAGACCAACAATATTCCCTCAAATGATCACAGATTCGTCTGAACAAAGAGCTTCATATTGAACAATGTTGCTGATTG